ACAGGGAGGATCCAGCGGCGAGTCAGAGGATCGACTGCTGAATTCTACTCTCTCCACAAACTCAGGCTCGTTTTATTAACGCACACACACACAGGGGTGGTACACATCAGATAATACAGACATCATGCATTGATGTACACTCATCCTGTTTGATCAAGCATACAGCTTTTGTTACCATATTTGGTAATGACCTATGTTGTTGTTGTCACGTACACACATCCTGCTTTCCATCACAAGACTTATCATGTCACACCAGACCTTGGGTGTAACTCAACCGTGCAGTTCCTTTTTTCGTGTGTCTGCGTATTTTAGTTTTAGCTTTAAGCAGCATGTTTGTGTTTTAGGCAGGTTATATGTTTTAGCACATCTCTTATGATCTTTTAAAACATTATTATATATGTTGCATACTTCTATAAAATATGAACACATGAATACATTTCATCCACACTGGTTATATGTTTATCCACATTCCGAAAGTCCGTTTCGGGAGGAAAAGTCTCTGACTTAGCTTTAAGCAGCATGTTTGTTGTTTAGGCAGGTTATATGTTTTAGCACATCTCTTATGATCTTTTAAAACATTATTATATATGTTGCATACTTCTATAAAATATGAACACATGAATACATTTCATCCACACTGGTTATATGTTTATCCACATTCCGAAAGTCCGTTTCGGGAGGAAAAGTCTCTGACTGTCGATGTGCCGGTTCACACGATTACCGTTAGAAGGAATCCTGTCGCTTCTAAACTTTTCAATAACTGCTTTGGTCGCAGTGCTACGTTACTTGTGTAACTTATTACCGGTTAACTCAGTTAAGAAAAAGACGCTACTAGTGCATTTATCACTGTGGGCAATGGTGTCTACAAAAGCGCGTTGGTTCTTAGTCTTCTGAGACGAGCAGGTTTCTCTTTTCATCAGGGGTCCTACGGAGCGAAAGTCCTGAACAGAGAGAATGAAATTGGGGCTGGCCCCCCAATTTAAAGGTTGCGGAGATTACTGATCGTGACGTATGTGGATTTACCGGAAGCAGTGGAATTATGGGAGTTCGAGTCCTTGAAAGGACTGTTGTAGTACCTACACCAACGTGCCAATTGCATTAGCAAGTGTGTACAGTGCATTTTATGGGTCAAACCAAACAACCCAAACCCTAACCCAAACACAGGAAGCTGAGTGAGATGCACAGTTGTCATTTTGATCTGCTGCTAAAGCTGTAAACCACATATCTGATCAAGACTGACCTCATGTCACATTCCACATGCTTGTCCTTGCAGCAATATCCACAGTCCCATCATTCTAGTCTCTGTAATGACCAGAATGCTGCCTTTTATTTATTTTATTCCTTATTCCAGCACTTTTATGTCTGCCACAGATGTTAATATAGGGTTCTGTACTGCTTTTTTCCTAAATAATGATGAGCTGATACTCCATGATGTCTCACAATGCATTAAATATTTACTTCAAATGTTTGTATTACCCATATGTTTCGGACCATAAGGCGCACCGCATTATAAGGCGCAGTATCAATGAACGGGTCTATTTTCATACATAAGGTGCAACGGGTTGCAGGCGCATTAAGCGAAACTGTAAATAGAATTTATAGTTAGTTACCAAAGTGTGTTAAACCAAAGTGTGGTGAACCATAAACTGTTATCTTAGTGTGTTAAATAATGGTCTGCTTGACAGGAGTAGGTACCTCTAAAAGGTTTTTTACTATGTAGGTAAATAAAGGATGAGGTCTGTTCTCATCAAGTATGGGAATCGGATGAACTTTGACCTGGGAGTAAAACTTAACCAAAAAAACAACTGCCCAGTACTTGTGAAACTTTCTCAATAAAAGGAGCTGCAGTCCTCATACACTTTGAGACTTAGGTGAGCCAACTCTGCGAAGCTGTTGGTCTCTCTGCTCCCCCTCGCAGCGAGTAAAAAGTACAACGTTGTCAGGTGTGGTTCTTTTCAGGTCATTCTATCTGCGGCAGTTAGATGACAACAGTGGTGACTGAATAACGTAATTTTCGGCACCAACAGAAACAAAAGAGTCAACGAAACAATCTAGCATGCCCGGATCCCTCTCGTCAATATCTGAGTCAGTCTCGTTGCTGTTACTTAGCTGTTCAGTAATGATTTCGGCCTTTGTGAAAGCTCGGACAACATTTGAGACTGATACCTTAGCCCAAGCATCCACGAGCATTAGCAGATAGTGGCGTAACTCGCCTGGCGTTGCCTCCCTGTCTTAGTGAATGTGTGTTTGCCTTCTGTCATCCAATGCTCCCACACAGCTCGCAGTTTAACTTTGAACATCCTGTTAATGCCAATATTTAGCTAATAGTTAATCCACCCGGAATGATGGCAAGCCCCGAATTAGTTTGCTTCACTTGGGTTTTGACAATATTGGTGAAATGTGCGCGCATGGAGTCGCAGATCAATCAATGTGGCTCCTGTGGGGCCCTACAGAGAGACAGTATCTGTCAGAGCTCTGCTCTGTAGTGATGAGAAAAATGTAAAAACTAGTGATGGGACGAACAACACTGGTGCGTCAACACTGTGCCGAGCACACAAGAGTAAAACCCCGTATTGGTGCGTGTATCGCTTTAAGAAAAAATCATGTGGCCGATACAGGAAGTATGTCGTTTGGATCTGCCGCGCCAAATTGTATTTATAAGGAAATAAACTGTATTGACATGTTGCGGATTTGTTGGATGGAGATGACACTGTTGCTGTCTGTTGGATTTTGCTTGCCCTCACCTTGTTCCACCTCTGACTTCATGGACCTCTCCAAGAAGTTTTCCCCAGTCTGGAATAATTTCGATCTTTTGACGCCAAATAAAGTAAGTCTTTTTCTCCTTTGGGCATTGTTTGCTGTTAGTTTTTTAATTAAATATATTTCTCTTTTCTGGTAAGAGGTTTGAATTGTTTTCAGATAAATTAACTTTTTATTTTATTGTAGGTGGCTCTGCTCCACAGAGCTATCTTACATCCATAAGAGCACTCCATCAATGCTGAGGCATTATAGAGCTCGGCATGGAAATGAAGAATTGGCAGATACTCCTGTGAGTACCCCAGGTATGTTGAAATTCTCACAAGAAATTTGAATTTTCAAAAAAGTTGATTACACACAAAAGGCTTTGTGTGACTCTATAATATTGTTTGTAAAAATGACAGTCCTTTAACAAGCTTTAAACAAAATATTTCCTTTTGGCTTGCAGTTCCTAAAAAGAAAGCAGTGGATGAGGCTGTGGTCAACTTGATGATCAAAGATTGTCAACCACTCACCATTGTTGAAAATGAGGGATTCAGGGAGCTCCTGAAGCTTATTGTACCCTCATATGTTCTACCAAGCAGGAAGGTATTGAAAGATTCTTGCTGTGCATAGGTGTCTTCAGGCAAGGAATGGAAGCAGTCGGTAGATGATCGATTCGTTTTAATAACAAAAACGTCAAACAAAACAGGTCCAACAATAGAGCAAAATACCAACTGGAAAAGTATTAAAGGAAAAATACAACACAAAGTTATATAGAACTTAGAAATACTTCTGATATATCATTAGTGGTTTATGCTTTTTATACTTATTTGGGGGGAGTGGTTTTAGCTTCCCGGGCGTGTGTTTGAATGTTGTAGACCAATGGGAGGAAAGAGGTTGGGCCGTTTGTGGCCAATGATATTATTGTTACTGTTTATGGCTGTGCCTACAGTCATCACTAGGTGGTGCTGCTGCTCCATCGTTCAGCAGTGTCGGAGGATGTGACTTTGTAGTTTTATGAACCTTTTGTTGCTGAGCGGGGTGTTAACACAAAGGAAGTGGACGGAGCCTTAAGGTCTGGTCAACCACAGGTGGTCATGTACTGTAGCTCAAAAGGGGAGTCATCTGGAGAGTTGGTGTAAAGAGAATTTGTGGGGAATTCTCTTTGAATGTGTGGGGCTATGTGACTGTGTGTGCTCGGGAAAGCCTTTGGTGTCTTAGCAACTTCTTGCTTTTAGACTCAACCAAATGTGAAAACCACTGAAATCTAACAGTATGTTTAAGAAATGTATGGTTGGTTGAATTAATTAATGAGTACTGCCATGTCATATACAGACAGTCATATCCAAAAAATTAGAATATCATGGAAAAGTTTATTTCCATAATTCCATTCAAAAAGTTAAACTTTCATAGATTTCATAGATTCAGGGACAACAAATTTAAACGATTTTAAGTATTATTTTGTTTATTTTTACATAATTTGGGCTTCCAGCTCATTAAACCCACGAAAACAGGAATTCAGAAAATTAAAATACTGTGGAGAAATCAACCCAAATTTTGTGGGGCATGAATGTTTTAAACTGAGTGTCACATACTAATCATCTACTAAACTCAAAGCACCTGCACAGGTTTCCCCAGGTGTCATTAAATTGCTTCAGTTTGGTTGAATTGTCTCAGGTCGGTTCAATATGGGGAAGACTGCAGACTTGACAACTGTCCAGAAGACCATCATTGATACCCTCCATAGGATGGGTAAACCACAAAAGTTTATAGCTAGAAAGGCTGGCTGTTCACAGAGTGCTGTGTCCAAGCATATCAATGGGAAGTCTAGTGGAAGAGCAAAATGTGGCAGGAGAAGATGCACCAGCAAAAGAAATGACCGTGTGCTTCAGCGGATTATCAAACAGCGAAGGTTCAAGAATCTGGCAGACATCCTGTTAGGTTTATTCTAACATATGT